CTTTCTCAGTCGAATGGATTTTTAATCTGGTGTTATTGCAGGTCGGGTATTGGGCTAAAATTTTATGGCCGTCAATGGTCCCTTATGTGATTGATTTTGTGCGTAGTCCGGACTCCATCATTTCGGGCTGATTTGTTTTAACATTCCAGTTCGTTTTCTGGCTTCGCTACTCCAATGTAGTCTTCTATTATTTCGAAAGTTGCATGTAATGCTTGCCATTGGGAATGTCATTTTTTGTTCCTTGGGGCTGTTTACTTGAAAGGTCTCCAACTTTTGGCCTCTCCTTTGTGTCGTTAGAATGGTGCCATTTCGTTTTTGTGTCTCTCGTGCTCTTTGCTCTTTGTTTTTGAATCTTCAGGGATAGTAGTTCGAGGGGGGGTCGATCCGTGTGTTGATATAGTTTTAATTGCATGACTTTCGCCACCCCAGGGTATACTCTTTTTCCTCTATTTAGGACTAGGGAGGTTTTTTAATGAGGACCTGGTCGTGGCGTACTTTGTAACATTCTCTAATACAAAGTACCCTATTTCAAAAAAAAAATCTAATTCGATGGACTAAAGTATAGAAGATCGGCAGTATGACAAATAAACATCATCTTGATCAACGAGACGTCGTTGAATTCAATATTTAGAAAATTATATGAAAAAGGGTCAAATAATCGAAAATGCACCTAAAATAGAGAGAAGTGCACCATAAAAACATATAAAAATGTGTAATAGAGGCAAATTTATTATAAATTAAAAACAAAGAAAAATAATGTTACGATATAAGATAAAATAGAAAATAAGGATTATAGACAATCGACAATTAATTTTAAAATTAGTGTCGTCTCCTGTAAAAGAAAAAAAGAAAAAGAAAGATGCAAGCAGTTTGAGAGAAAAATATCATTTGTAATTAAGAATAATAGCTTAATTTAAAGTGTGGGTACTGTATTCTCTACTCTATTGTGAGTTTACAAAGCCTTCTTTAATGTCTGATGTGATTGAATCATAATTTGCAGGAATTCAAAACCTAGTTATTGTTTCGAATACGACGTACTAATTGTGGAACTTGGAGAAGCAATTTGGAGCAGTGGGGCAACCGGGCAAATTATAAATACATCATATCAAATAAAAGTAAAATTTAGTCATCATTAGTGACGAAGCAGGTAAAGCATGCAAATTTTTCTACCATAGTTTGCCAACCGTTGAGAATGGTAAGAAAAATTCATACCTCTTTCTCTTCCTTTTCCCAGAGTCAATGCAGCTGATGAGTTGATCACACTCCACTTCTTTCAATGCTTATTTTCACTAACCCAACCATGTATTGGTTTGACTAATTAACCATCTATTTCTAATATAAGGGATTAAATTAACAAAAATGTCAAATTTCAAAACTCGTATACCTCAAAAAAAGGTCGGAACAGGGCCGGGCTTGGACGTTAAAGGCTCTGTGCAAATTCTTAAAAAGAGGCCCTAGCTATTCCGTGGCCCTTGCAAATTTCCTTACTAAAAATTGTAAAGTTTGAATGCAGTATATATAGGGAGATTGGTGATATTACTAACTCAAATCCTAACGATGTGGGATACGGAGATCATGAAGATGAACTCATTTCTCGTAAAGTGGAGTTAAACAAAAAAAATGAGATTTTTATTGTAATAAATCTATTTTTATTGTGGCCCTTTCTATTCTGGGTCCCTGTTCGATCGCTCATGTTGTACACCCTATAGCCCCGCCCTGGGTCGGAACGATCAAGTTGTGAAATTTTGGAACTAAACGATACATTTTCTTAATCCAAATTCAAAGATTCCATTGACAAGAAGAGACAAAGCTAGAAGGATTCCTTTCTCTAGACAAGTCATTTGGGATCAATATTTAATTTTCTTATGTGTTTACAAATTAAAAGCAGTACCCTTACGCACGTAAGATTTTGGGGTTTAGGTGTTTCTGTAATCATATTTATGCAATGGTTTATACCCTTGTACATACAACAGACATAAAAACTGCGTTTAGTCTGAATGTGTGATGGCATTAAGTACAGTATGTATGTTGATAAATATATTTGGTTAAAGCATATATTCGACAACAATGATTACACGAAACCAATTCTCGCTGTCTTAATATTAAGGTGGTGTTTGGTTGGATGAAATCCTTTGGAATTAGTGGGAATTGGAATCCAATTCCATCACTTTCCCATGTTTGGTTCAAGTTTTTCAAGGAAATTGGAATTCCTGATAGAATTCAATTCCATCAAATGAGGGAAAGTTAATTCCATCCAAAAATGGATAGAATTCAATTCCCTTATTGGAGGGAATTAAAATTTGACCATACTACCCTCATCAATCATTTGGTAACTTAATCATATATTGAATAAAAATATTTTTATTATTATTTCGGGTCGGGTTTCTAATTCATATATTCGGGTTGGGTCGGGTGAAACTTTATTTTGGTCGGATCAGATCGGGTTTTTTTAAGTGTGCTATTCGGGTCGGGTCGGGTCGGGTTCGGGTTTAGGGTGAAAAAAACCGGACCGACCCGAAAATATATATAATTCAGGTCGGGTCGGATTAAGTCACTGTTTTTATTATATAAAAATAATTTTTTATTATTTTGGGTCGGGTCGGGTCGGATTTCTAATTCATATATTCGGGTCGGGTCGGATGAACCTTTATTTTGTTCGTGTCAGGTTTTTTAAGTGTGATATTCGGGTCGGGTTTTTTTAAGCGTGATATTTGGGTCGAGTCGGGTTCGGGTTTAGGGTAAAAAAAACCGGACCGACCCGAAAATATATATAATTCAGATCGGGTCGGATTAAGTCACTATTTTTATTAAATAAAAACATTTTTTTATTATTTCGGATCGGGTGGGATTTCTAATTCATATATTCGGGTCGGGTCGGATGAAACTTTATTTTGTTCGGGACGGGTTTTTTAAGTGTGATATTCGGGTCGGGTGGGGTTCGGGTTTAGGGTGAAAAAAACCGGACCGACCCGAAAATATATATAATTCGGGTCGGGTCGGATTAAGTCACTGTTTTTATTAAATAAAAATAATTTTTTATTATTTCGGGTCTGTTCGGATTTCTAATTGTTCGGATTTCTAATTCATATATTCAGGTCGGGTCGGATGAAAATTTATTTTGTTCGGGTCGGGTCGGGTTTTTTAAGTGTGATATTCGGGTCGAGTCGAGTCGGGTTTTTTTAAGTGGGATATTCAGGTCGGGTCGGGTCGGGTTCAAGTTTAGGGTGAAAAAACCGGACCGACCCCAAAAAAAATATAATTTTACCTTATATATTTAGGAATAATTATAATAATACCCCTCTATATATAATTTTTATCAATTAAGTCAATGTTTTTATTGAATAAAAATAAAAATTTTTTTATTTTGAGTCGCGTCGGGTTGAGTTTCTAATTCATATATTGAATAAAAATAGTTTTTGGTAATTAATTAACATACTCCGATTGGAATGTATCGAAATATTGTTATATCTTTTGGTAACTTATTAACATATTTTGATTGCGATGATTTTAACTTATAATGTTTATTAGCATGATTTTTATAATTTATTGAAATGAATAATCAATCAAAAAAATGAAAATTTAATATTTTTTTAATTTTTATAATATATTACTACATATAAGTCGTAAAATAAACTAAAATAAAGTAAAAAAAATCAAGAAGGGCAATTCTGTCATTTTACATTACTGAAATCAAATTCATCTGACATGTCTGCGAACCAAACAGAATATAGAATTGGGTTCCAATTCTATTTCCTGCAAACAAAACAGAATATGGAATTGGATTCTAATTCCTACATATTCCAATTCTTTCACAGATTCTAATTCCCTCATAAACATTCCAGCGAACCAAACGCCACCTAAGACTATCATTATAATAAACATAATTCTTATTTTAGGCAATTTTAAAATATATTGATAAAGAAATTGTTGATGAGAATAAATTGGTTTCATCTGTTTTGAGCGAGTCACCTCTTAGAAAATCACAACCTATAGAAGAACATCCGATGATTCTTTCAGAATTGGTGGAAGATAACGAAGACAATAAAGAAGTTGTGGGGGTCCATCACCCTTTTAGTGCACTTACAATTATAGGGTTATTATGATTTTTTGTAAGTTAGACAGATCTATGGTCAATTTTTAGATTTTATTCTAATGTATGCATCACGTGAGTTTGTTCCAGATATTGTTTATATATTGTAGCTGATTAAAAGCTTGTATAGTGTGAAAGTAGACTAACTGAAGGTTTTTGATAAATGAAGGAACCTATCTGAAAATCTTGATTAGTAGATATAACATAAACAAAATGAAGGTGAAGATTTATTTAAGTTATAGGGTCATCATTAATTCCCGGGGGGTACCTTAAACTTGGGGCTCTATTTCTCTGCTGCGACTTTGCAACCAAAGCTGGGCTACCCAGTTAGGAAATGATAGAATTAACGTAGCAAAAACTATCTGCAAGTGCTGGCCTACTTTCTCTGAGCTATGATGCGTCTATAGTTGGAAAGGTACCGTCGACAAGTCAATCGGAGACAGCTGATGAGATGAAATTCCGGACAAATAATTTGATCCATGGGGACCCTCGTTTCACTGCTGTGTTCATTACTAAATCGTCAAGTCAACGGGCATATTTGGATATAACGAGTCTCCTACGAACAGGTTTTGCTTTGCCCTTTGATGGGTTTCGTAAATAAGATTGCAGCAACAAATTTATGAGAAGGTAATTTATGATAATAACCCCATATTCTCTAACTAGTTGAAGCCAGTAGTAAATGTTTTTTTAATTGGTCGTGGACAATGTCTCAGCAATTTGTAATTATCATATCATTTCATAGGAGTTGGAAACTGATAAAAGGTGTCTATCATTTTGACTTTAAATGTAAAAATGCAAAACATAATTGTTAAAAATGTTATATTTTTTCCTTACTGTAACAACTACTCTTTGCTATTAAAAGGCATGAGGCACCGCGCCAGATCTCTCATGCATCCAAGTTTTACTTAGAAAGGGAGATCCATCGATTTCTTAAACAAATCAGCGTATATATCTTAGGAGATATAAGGAAGATCACAAAGATGGGGAGGGCTCCTTGCTGCGACAAGGCGAGTGCGAAGAGAGGGCCGTGGTCTACTGAAGAAGACTCAAAGCTTAAGGACTACATAGAGAAGTACGGCACTGGTGGGAATTGGATTGCTCTCCCCCAGAAAGCGGGTAAACATATACATTATCACCAAAACAGATGTATACCCTCTCTATTTCTGTCTTTCTTCCAGTTTCTTGGTTAATTTTAGTCACCTTTAAATTAGGTCTGAAAAGATGCGGGAAGAGCTGCAGGTTGAGATGGTTAAACTATCTAAGGCCCAACATTAAACATGGTGATTTCACTGATGAGGAAGATAGGATTATCTGCAGCCTGTTTGCCACCATTGGAAGCAGGTAGGCCTTCATTTCTAACTTGATGAATAATATTTAATCAAGTTTTCCTAAAAGAGTAACAAAGAGTTTTTATAGGGAAAAAAACTTTATTAATCTTCTGCTTGCTTTGCATGCCAAGTCCAATTTGATCACCATCATCTACTTAAACTCCAAGGGGAAAAGCATGGATTTTATTTACTTCTTATGGAACGTTTTCTTTTTCTAACATGCAATTTGCAGATGGTCAATAATAGCAGCTCAGTTACCCGGAAGAACTGACAATGATATCAAGAACTACTGGAACACCAAGCTTAAAAAGAAATTCATCGCCATGACTATGACTTCTCAGTCCCAGAGAAAGCCACCACCGTTACCACCTTCTCATCACACTCCAACTATTTCGTTTTCTTCTCTGTACAAAGACTGCACTACTTATTACACCCCAACCGGATCTTTCACAGCCTTTGAACCAATGTCATCCGTTCAACCTGGTCTTTTGAACAATGACGACACTATCTTGGCTACCAATTCTTCTTTAAGTCACACGCCGGAGAGTTTGGTGAGTTATATGCAGTACTGTTATCCAGCGAAAGAAAATTTTCTCATGTTTGGAAGTGGAGAAGTAAGCTACAGTTCATCTGACGGAAGCTCTGGCCAAATCAGCTATGGCAGAGAGATCAAGCAAGAAGACATAAATAATTTCCAGGGTTTTGGTGCCTCTAATAGCTATGAAGATTTTCTTAAGTTCATGTTGAGCCATGCCTGCACCAATACTGGAGGTGTAGATGTTAACCAGTGGACTGAGAAGCCAAGTGGGTTTAATTTAGACAAAGATATTCTTAACTTCATTGATGAAAACAAGACACAAGAGAAAGTCGTGTACTACAACTACTGAATCCACTGACTGCAGTTGTAATATCAGAAAGATTTGATGGGGTAAGGGACAAAGGGGAGGGGCTTTGGATTGATGGATTTGATAGTGTGAGATTCAAAACTTTGAGTTTCTGGGGTTTTGTGTAGGATGAAGAAACATTTCTACTTTTGACAGACATGTAAGCTCTAAAGCTTTTTTTTTTTGCGCAATTTCCTTTTAGAGAAGTGATGATGGTGTTATTGTTGAAAAAAAATGTGTTTATGAAAACTGGAGAAGTACCATCATTCAAGAACAAAGAAATAATCTCTATATCAAGACAAACCAAGCATGCGGTGTTCTGTATTTCCTACTTTTGCTTTTAAAATATTCGAGTCATTTGCCGGTGATTGATCCTTGAAAATACATTTACAATCCTTGGAAAATATCGTGTATCCTTCCGATGTATGTAAGTAGGATCTTTTTAGGTTCTCGTCTGACACTGTTTGTCCAAAATATTGAAGACCCGGCACCTTATTTTAATCAACCATGTCAGACTTTAAGCTGGAAGCTTGTTTCCATGTATTTTAAAACAAAATGATGAGGCTGGAGATTTTGGAATTTTATGGAGGAAGCAAAGCTTTACAGTTAATCCCATTTTTTTCTAACACAATCCTCTTTAATTATTTATAAATAATATATTGAAATGTATGTTTAGAATTAGTTGGCAGATGCAATGCCGTAAGCTCTGCTTAATTTGGACATTCGTTCATCTCTTTTTAGAGGAAAACTACAATAACTAGATGCTTAAATAATTAAATTATTTCCTTTTCCTTTTGTTATATAATTAGCTGGTCTTGAATTATTGGATGATTGATGTGGGGATGCATGAACTCAAGAAAGAGGTGTTTTTCTCGAAAAATCATCGGTGATCGATATATTTATCGATTTAATACCGATCATATTATATTTTCTGATCTAACACCCGTAGCAGTAAAGCGAGCCCCATGCCTCGCGTTATATGTTGATTTGGCGTCACGTGAGGTATAGCGTGCCCCCTGATCCGCGCTATACGCCACGTAGGCCGCGCTATACCGGAATTATATTTAACGCGGTCTCTGGTCTGCGCTATATCTTTTATTAATAATTACATATAGCGCGGTGCAGGTACCGCGCTTTATATGGTTATAAATACACTTCTCCGCTGGTTAAATTTCTCACATCTCCTCGCATCTCTCCTCTCAACTTATAAATTAATACAACAATTCCGTCAACGAGTAATAATTCAGGCAATCTTCTCATATTTGATTTAGAAGTTCGTGCGATTTTTCGTTATAAGGTAATTTTGTTATAATTTTTTAATTATACTTATTGTTTATTATCATTATTTAAAAAAATATTATACTAATTATTTTCAATTAATTTTTATGTTTGTAAAATTGAAAACCGGGAGCATACGTCGTAATAGTTTTGCGGTGCAGGTAATAATATAATATTATATTATTTAAATTATTTACGTTGATGTGTAAAATATTTATTGTGTTATATTTTCGTTCATATATAATTTATTTAATTAGGTTTGTTTCAGTTTTTTTTTTTTGCAGATATAATATTGCCGCACTTTTAAACTCAAAGAATGGCGCGACTTTCAGCTATTGTTTATTATGATGGTAAAATTTGAGAAGATGAAACTGACGTTGTTTTCGTATCAAATGAGCGTGTTAAAATATCATTCAAGAGAAACATAACTCTTGAGGAGCTGATAACGAAGATTTCGAGGAAGATTCATGTTGGAAGTAGTAGAAGAATGTCGTCGTTGCAGTACAGATTTCCAACATCATTGTTGCTATTAACTTATACAACGTTCGAACTTTCGAACAATGATGATGTTCAAATGATGGTTGAAGCTCAAAGTAATTATTCAGACGCCGCTATTTAGATGTATGCACATTTTGTTCAAGTGTGTGCTGCTCGGGGACAATCATTAAGCTCCCACTATGGGCTGGCTCAACAAGTTGATCAAGTTGACAGCCCGACTATAGTAATGTGTAATGATTTTAATGCTATAATGGGGAGACATTCATCCGCAACTCCTTACGATATGTACTGAGGCGGGTCCACGAACAATCCGTATGGCAACACCGCGTCCAGTTCAAGGGGAAGACATTCATCTGCAAATTTCTTTGACCTTAATATGGAGATGTCATCGACGCAACAATCTGTACAGTTTTCATTTGACACAATGGCTTCAAGCTCCAGGGGGAGGCATTCGATTGCGAGCTTTTTCGATCTCAATGTCGATATGCCTTCTAGTTCACGGGGAAGACATGCAAGTAGTAGGTTCTTCAACCTAAATGTGGAGCGCATGGAGGAACCATTATCTCCACCAGAAGAATCACTTTCGTGAGTCTGGTGCGGATGATGCTAATATTGGACTATTCATTCACCCAGAATCACCGCAATTCAACTCCGATGATGATGATGTAGATGAAGTTACAGGAAATGTGACACAAACTGACCCTCCTGCACACATGTATGAAGCTGATTATGGTGTACTGTACGGGCCAGAATTTGCGGATATGTCTCATCTCGGTGACTATGAATATTACTCATCAATAAATAATGGTGAGTTATCTTTAGACATGGAGTTTTCAAGCAAAGAAGAAACGATGATGGCTACCAAAAATTACAATATCTGTAATTCTGTTCAGACCAGAGTCAACCGATCGACGACCGAAAATTATATATGCTATTGTGCCCAACACGAAAACGAATGTAATTGGATGGTTCGCGTATCGAAAATGAAGAGGAAAAACAACATATGGGAACTAACAGTATATAACGATCCTCATACATGTTGTGCTGGAGGGGTTAACCAAGATCATCCTAACTTGGACTCTGAAATGATATGCCAAGCCATCATGTCCATGGTAAAAGCAAGCTCTCATATAGCTGTTGAGTGTTGATTTCAGCTATACAATCGCAGTATGGGTACACTGTCTCCTATAAAAAAGCTTGGTTGGCAAAACAAAATGCCATTGTCAAACTTCATGGCGAATGAGATGCATCTTACAATGAACTTCCAGGTTGGTTTAGGCTGGTGCGGACGTTGAATCCTGGGACAATTGTGGACTTCGAAACCTCCTATGCATACCATAATGATCTAGTTCTTCACGATCGAAGTCAATTCTATCGGGTTTTTTGGAGTTACCCACAATACGTTAATGCTGCCAAATACTGCAAGCCTGTAGTCCAGATCGACAGGACTTTCTTGTATGGAAAATACAAGCAAGTTTTATTATTGGCAGTTGTCCAAGATGGCAATCGCAACATTCTTCCAGTTGCTTTTTCTCTTGTCGAAGGAGAAGATACATATTCTTGGGTTTTTTCCTCCGAAATTTAAGTGCACATGTTATCACGAGGGAAAACGTCTGTGTCATTTCAGATAACGGAGATGGGATCAAAGCAACAATGGAGTCTTTGGGTCAAATGTGGCAACCACCCTTTGTCCAACATAGGTATTGTCTCCGACACATTGCTGTGAACTATCATGGAAGGTACAAGAAGAATGATGAGCTTCAATTAATTGTACGCATGGGTAAGTGAAAGCAAGTTAGTAAGTTATACATTTTTTGATCATTTTAATTTTGCAAAGAAAGCAAGTTAGTAAGTTATACATTTTTTTATCAGGTTACGAACTACTTCCTCAAACGTTTGAATCAATGCTTCAAGATTTACGGGCAAAGAACGAGGAAGGATACGATTACATCAGCCTCATCGATAAAGAAATGTGAACGAACGCATATGATGGTGGATATCGATATGGACACATGACGACCAACTTGGATGAGGCAATCAATTCAACCTTAAAGGGTACACGTCACTTACCTGTAGCAGCTTTGGTAAAAACTATATTAGTTGCAAATCTACAGAAAAAAAATTGTTGCATCCAATGGAATGTCTGTAACAAGCTTCTCTAGAAGGCATGAAATGTTTCGTGTTGCAGAGTTGCTGCGACCTCTTCAAGGGATTGAAGATGTATCGTTAAGAGTAAATCTAAGGGACAGAACGTGCGACTGCGAGTTTTTTCAAGCTTTGAAGTATCCATGCTCTCATGTGATAGCAGCTTGCTCGCACACACGTCAATACTATAACCATTTTGTTGATCCGGTATACTTACTATCTGAAGTTTTTAAGGTATAAGAATTTGAGTTTCCCCCCATAGATAATGACAAATACCCTGATGAGGTTCAAGAATAGCTTCCGATTGTACCAAATCCGAGTTTATTGAGGGAGCATGGTCATCCAAAATCCAATCGAATTCATTGCGATATGGATATTCGAGAAAGATCTAGACAAGATAGAAGATGTGGGCATTGTAGAAACCCAGGACACACGAGAAAAACATGTCCACTTCTGTTGTCATCAAGTAATAATTGATGAGGAAATGATGTATTTGTTTATCAAATAATAATTCTTGTACTTTAATTTGCATTTACTTCAAGTTAAAGATAACCAAATTGGTATTTGAATATAATTTTAAATACAATAAACTTACAATAAGTATTAAATGATAACCAAATTACAATAACTGATATTAAATGGTAATAAACAAAATTAACTGAAATACATTAAAAAAAGTCCAACAAATTTAACAAAATAAAGTAAGTATTAAATGAGAAATAATAAAAAATTACAATTTAACAAAATAAAGTAAATACAAATATAATAAAAAAATCTATCGATGCCTGTGACGCGAATGTATTCCGCAGGGCGGTGGCTGTCGGTCTCGAGGAAGATTTCTTCGTATCATTGGTTCTGACTCCTCGTTGTCATCACCATCACCATCGTCGTCGTCGTCCTGAGCAGATACATTAGGTTGATGAGGAGCTGATGACGATGAAGTACCTCCATAGAATAAGGACCCTGGAGGTGTATGACTGACTATCCCACCGGCCTACGAAAACTGGGAAAACCCAGACATCGCTGACTGTGAAAACTGTACAGGAGGTATTTGTGCTGCGGCCATGGGTGATGAGGCTGAACCTGCCAAATATCCAGCATATGAACCCCAAGTCGGATCTGCAAACATAGACCTATAATAGCCTCCAGGAGGGGTCATCTGTGACTGTGGCGGCGACAGGGTTATAAAACCAGGTGAAGACGGCGACGGCAGCATCTGGTAATGAAAAGGCGATGGCGGCATCATATATGGCTACGA